TCATTTGAACAACATTTTCGAAATGAATTGTGAGTGTAGATGCACTATTTAGAATACGGTTCGTTCAAATAAATCTTAGAGGATATGGGTTCATAAAATAGCACGACGTATGTATAAAATCATATGAGATTTGTAAAAGGGATTCGTAAGAATTCAATCGGTTCGTGACTCACAATGCAGTTAATTTGTTCGTTCAAAGAATCCGTTTAAATGAATCGTGAATCTATAAATTAGCACAGCATAGTTTTAAATAGATCGGCATAAAATCCTTACATTACTGCTTGAATTACCACTTGCATACGATTATCTTTGAAAGAAGTAGTATTGTATACTACGTATTTTGTTCAGAAATAATGCCAATAATGGATATTAGAATTAGATAATCTGAAGAAATAGCAACAGAGTAATATGTATGTATTAATATTGTATATATTCTGTTATAATAATTTAATATATTAGTAACACATTTAATTATATTTGAACGCTGTCTTTATAATAATGAAGACCGCGTATATATATCATAGGTACTCGTATAGTAAGTCAACATAGTGGCGGACTAAGCCTGTTGGAGGCCCGGGCGGCGAAGCTAAATGTGGTCCCCGATCTGTTTAGATAATGATATACTTCTAATGCACATTTTGTAAAAATTGAATGACGTATGTATAATGGTTGAAAAAATTCAAGTATTTATACAGGGTGTCCCAGGCTGAGCCTGCGTTAGAAGTTTCTAGAGAACTATATCTAGATACGAGATTTTGTGCGTATCATTGTTTCACAATGAGATCTATCGATTAAAAATATTTTCAATATGGCGGCACTTTCGGAAGTACCGGAAATTGACTGCAACTTTCTTATTTTAAATGGGTGACCCCATTTTTTATTACATACTTAAATTCTCTGTAAAATTTTATGAATTTTGATATTAACACTCTATACCTAACGTTAACCGTTTTTGAGAAAAAAAAATATTTATAATTTTTAGAGGAAAAAACTGCCTGTCAAAAATATGTATATAGCCTAAACATCAAATTTAGTGATTGCCACAGCCACTGTACCATAAAGAGAAGACATATGGCTATGTCAAAAATTAAATTGTCCGAATGACATATAATAATGGCCGCATAGCTGTCATGGAATTGAGCGATTAAAAATTATCAGAAATTATTTTTTTTCAAATGGAAATCCATTTTTTTTTTATTTTACTCGTGAAAAGGCTTTCGTTACTTTCGTTTTTAAAATTTGTTACTTTTTGACTATACATATTCCTGTACCTAAAATAAATCGTTTTTAAGTTATTTAAGATTCAGCTTTAAAGCGTATATTTTTCTTGATTTTAACCAGTAGCTTATGACAGTATATTATCGATCATCATTTCCAAGCTAACTTTGCGCTGTTTTTTTTTTGATAGTACGGTATATTATTAAAATATCAACTATTATATATCACTAAAGAACGAAAATACGAGATATATTTATATAAAATAAATACACTTTTTAAACTTTTAAGCAGTAGTAGTTATAATATAGGAAATTCAAATATTCATTTTCTAGCAGATGGAAATAAATTGTCTGACTGTTTGACACTAAAAGGAAGCTAGATAAAATCAAGAAAAATATACGTTTTCAAACTAAATCTGAAATAACTCAAAAACGATTTATTTTAGGTATAGGAATACTAGTGAAATAAAAAAAATGGGTTTCCATTTGAAAAAAAAAGATTTATGATAATTTTTTAATCGCTCAATTCCGTGACAGATACCGCCATTATTATATGACATTTGAACAATTTAATTTTTGAAATAGATAGCCACAAAATTTTCTTGAAACAAATTTTCTTGACAGGTAGTTTTTTTCGTCCAAAAATTTTAAATATTTTATTCTTAAAAATGCTTCCAGGGAAATACCGCGACAAAATATCGCGATTTTGTAAGTCCTCCAAGATCCGAGGGGCCCCTTTGCTGTCTCAGGCCCATGGCTCCCGTTATACTAAAGACTTCACTGACATCATCAGTAATGAAGTTATAATACAAGTTATGCTGTGCATTAATTGTAATTTAAAATGTTTATTCAGTAAAAATAAAAAATGAAACCATTGAAAAATAACTTAAAAGCTAAAATAAATAAATTCAGTCTCAAAATATATAAAAAATAATAATTATTCGATATTTTAAACAAAGAAAATTATCCCTTGATTTAACTTCCTAAATAGAAAATGCCATTGATAATTACTGGGCCCTGATAGTTGATAATTAAGTAAATATCTGCTTCGATTTATACTATTTATAGTTGGCGTATACGTATGGTTTGCATACTCCACCTACAAACTGCTTTATAACTACTGCTTTATAACTACTTTATAACACATATTGGCCTTTTGCCAGTTGAATAAAAAGTTACTTATTAAGATTCGGAGGCCCCCTAAAAGACGGGGCTCGGGGCGGACCGCCCCTTCCGCCCCCCATTACACCGCCACTGAGCCAACAATAGTAGTCATTTTACAGACCACTGCAATTATAGCATTCTTTTTATCTTATGGTTCATCTAATTATCTGTTTATTGTGTAATAAAAAAATACTACGTAACTATACCGGGTGCGTCTCAAAGTGGCTCACCCCCTATACCTTTTTATTATTTCAGACAAAAACGAGATTGGGTATCTTAATATAAGACATAAATTAGGATTGATTGACGTATTCAATTATTTTTTGGTCACTTTCTGTTTCACCGGAAATAGCAGATTCGGTATATTTTTACTTTATTCGATAGAAAATGACACTCGAATACAATGACATATCATATGTCAACTTTTGACATTTTCGCTTACAGAAAAATCCTATTTTAAATAGAGAGTACTATGGCTTTGTTAAAAACACTAATATTTAATCAAGGATCCTTGAAAAAACAGATTTGATCATCAAATGTTTTTTCGCGTCTTGTCCTGGCCGGTTAAAAGATGGCCAAATCGTTTTGTTAATAATATCTCAATTTTTTTAAATGGAACGAGGTGGCTCATTAGCATATTTGGAAAAATAATTTTTTTTACGAATAATTTAGACACTTGGAATTAATTTACACACTTGGTAGTTCCAGTCAAATTGACGTTATGAAACGCATGTTACAATTTCAAATAAACCATATGCGAAAATGTCAAAAGTTGACATCTGATATGTCATTCTATTCAGAATGTCATTTTCTATCAAATAAAGTAAAAAAAAAAAGAGTGCAATTTAAAAATCAAAAGTAGTACATAGTTATTTCCGGTGAAACAAGTGACTAAAAACAATTGAATACGTCAATCAATCCTAATTTATTTCATATATTAACATACCAAATCTCATTTTTTTATCTGAAAAAAAAAAAAGTTTTAGAAAGAGCCGCTTTTGAGACGCACCAGGTATTATCTTTTGTATGTATTACTGACAAAACTTTGTGGGCAATATTATAGAATCACAAAAACAGTTGTCAGTTCCAGCAACACCATTTCTGTGGATAAACGGTTAATTTGTAACACATGTTTTACTGGCTATCGATTGCGTATAGAAATTGGAACATTAGGTTTTTATTACTCCAGAAACGTCATTAAATGCAATGGCTTGTCGTAGTCAGTCTGGCATCATTGACCGATAATGAGTTGAAGCTCTAAGTTGACATAATATTATATCTTTTTAAGTAGGAATTATATAGTAGACAGGGTGCTACAAATTCGAGACACGAGCATTGGTATCTCGGTAACCGTAATAGATACGAAGATGGTTAAATTTGGGGCAAAGTTGCGCTTTGGGATGTTCACCAAGACGCCATCAAAAAGTTTTAAAATATCGAGGATTGCTGAGTTTTTTTGGAAAAATCGATTTTTTTTGAAAATCGATTTTATTTTTTCCTGTCGTTACTTTTAGAAAATCAAAAACAAATTGCACATTCTCATAGCCACTTTATTAGGACTATCTGATAGTATAAGTTCCTCGGCAATTTTAGACTTATTTCAAAAAACGGCAAAGAGAAAATGTTTCTTTTATCGAGATCTACCAGCCCTGAAAATATTTTCCCTTATTTAAGACTCACCCTGTAAAATTTTTATATCCTTCTGTATCAATAATTCATAATAACATAACTCGGAATTCGTTCAAAAAGAAAGAAAATCTGTCAAAATTCAATTTGTAAGTTAATTCTTAATTACAGTTGGGGGTTGGAACCTTTGGTCGGTGCTCTGGTGTTGCAACAGCTAAATAAAACACTAAATCACCACAAAACAAAACTCATAACTCAAGTTTTAATCTGAAATCTGTTTTAAACTGAAGTTTAATATCTGGTGATGATGCTATCATGGGTACCGAAAAGCGCGTCAGTGCAAAAGAAAAGTATTTTGGTGTATTGTGGTGATTTAGTGTTTTATTTTGAAGTTAATCCTTTTTGATTTATTTTTCAAATTTCAATTTTACAAGTTAAAACTTTTTCGTTGTTAACATTTTTAAATATCATCGTAAAAATGTGTACCATGGAACATAATAGAGTGCATATTATGTTTTATGATATCATCAGATAATTCTATTTCTGTAATTCATAAATGCTTTTGGTGTATCACAGTCAGATCCTGTAAAAATGTATATGTTGGGTCAAAACAAATCAATTGGTTATCCTGTCTTTTACATCTATGCATTTTAACAAAATTAACATTTTAATAAAATTTAACAAAATTTTAGCACCAGTGCTAAAAAGTAAATGACTTTTACCATCAGTGACATATATGTCACATTTTAGGCACTGACAGCATGCGTTAAAAATTACATTTTTACTGACGTTTGTAGAAAAACATATTTTTCACATACTTACTGTGCAAATAAAAAGATATTTTTTATTAAGAGTTTTCTTTTATTTTATATAAATATATTTTAACGATACGTAGATTTAGTATAGGCACTATCTAATAGTGTTTATGGTGTTGAATTTCTAGATAAGCACTCCACTTCTCTTTCCATTAAAAAAACTCAAAAATTATCAAAAAAAATAAACTATTTAATCTCTACCAGCTAAAATCACAATAAATTATTTAAATTATCAAAAATACAAATAATCTTCTTATTCCTTCTTCTCCTCCTTCTTTTCACTCTTTTCACTCTTTTCACTCTTTTCACTCTTTTCATTCTTTTCATCTCCCTCTTTCTTGTTCAGGTCAGGATGGGTGTGTTCGAAATAGCACTTGTGGATGAGGTAAACGGTCTCGCAGGCATCTTTTCCTTTAATCTTGCAGTCCTCCACGATGGCCAGAGCCTTTTCTTTGTCCGCTTCGGGGGGGGCAGTTTGGCCTTGACAACGTCGATTTGGACTTCGCCGTCGTCGTTAACGAAGCCTGCCTTTTGGTAGAAGCATTTGGTGAAGCATTTGAGGGCGGCGTCGTCTGTGAACTCTCCCTGGTCCGCCTTTTCGATCAGTTCAGGCTTCACTTTGGTCTCTTCGATGCATTTCTGACGGTTTTCGATTATCTTTTTCCGTTGTTCTTCACTAAAGTCCTGAAAAAGAGAAAATTGCATTATGCAGGATGTCTAAAATTCGAGGATGACCTCTGAGATCTCGGAAAATATAAGACATCCGAAGTAGGTCAAATTTTAGCAAAGTTGCTCAATTTTATAATGAATTATACCGTATGATCGAAAAAAAACGGCGTCAGTTGGCTTGGAAATGACGATCGATGACATTTCCCATATAATTTTACATATAAAATGACAGCGATCTTCATTTCATAGCCATCGCTGACGCCGTTTTTATTCGATCATACTGTATTTATATTTGAGTGAATTTCGTTCGGCAAATTATAAATATCTGAATAGGTCGAAAAGATATTCGGGAGAAACGAAATAATGTAAAATGGTTTTTAATGTTTTCAGCATATATTTAAAGAGATATTTTAAAATAACTGCTTCTTCATTGTCACTCTTTTTCTTTATTAAGATGACGCAATTAAGTTTCAAATCTGACGTTTTTGTTTCCAACCATCAGTTTTATTCCTTTTTTATTACTTGTTTTAAAAGCTTAGGACCTCTTTACAAAAACTTTTATGAGAATTTTTGTTATTATTTATTTTTTTAGGCAGGTGTGCTGTACATTTATATTTAGGAGGTTACAAACTATTAAAAAATGTGGTAATAAGCTATGGTAAAGTGCGTATTTAAAAAAAATGAGCTGATGATAATATTCCGTAAACAATCGCCCGGTTTTGACATTTAATAGGTCTGTTCGTTTTCCTGTTATTATCGATTCTGAATCATCCTAGAACTCTCCAGCACATGCGCAAATGAAATAATGTCTGCATATTTCCTTCTGCGCATACGCATCACAATTCTAGGACGGTTCAGAATCCGTAATAACAGGAAAACGAAAAACTAATAGAACTATCAAATAAAGAGGAAAATGGCATTGCCGTGGTGGCATTTGATATAAAATAGCTCTTCAAATAAAACCAGGAAAAATAAAAACGATTTTAATATATTTCGATTTTTTCCACATATCTTCAGAAGTATTCAAATGATATGCGGGAAATTTTTATTTTTCAAATCGTCATTTTATTAGAACGAAATTGTAAAACTACCATAATTTGACATTTTTCATAAATCATACCTCTTATTTCCAAGATCACAATCTTCACCCTGTACAGGGCGGGTCAAATTAGAAGCTTTTAAAGGGAAACACCATTTTTTCTATAGGTGATAGACGAAAACTAATATCGATATCTGGAGCTCAATTTTCATCAAAAACATGATGGTGAAAACCACACATCGATATCGGTTACTGTTTTGGAGTTACAGGGTTTTTTTCAAAAATGTGCATTTTTTGAAAACACAACTTTTACTATAGAAAATGTTGTATTTCTATGAAAACATTTCAAAGCACCTTTTTACGTAAAATTTCGTGGTTTAAGTATAATTTTTTTAAATTAATAATTTAAAAGTTATCAACAAAAAATTGATTTTTTATTTCGGACACCCTGTATGTTTTTAATCAACTGAAAAGAACTTAAAATTAGCTTTTCAAAAATATACCACAGTTATATTTTGTTATAATCCCTTTCGAAATACAGAATTTTTAAAAGTTCGCCACTTTTAACTAGTAGGCTTTGGACCCCTTATTGATGATATGCCCCTAACGGAACTCGAAAAACATATTTTTCCAGCAAGACGAGGCACCGCCTCAGAACGCTGAAGTTATCAGAAAATTTTTGCAGCCAATTTCAAGAATAATGGAATAGCTAACCAAGATCCCAGCCTGGCTGTTGTGCCGCCCGCGCCGGCTGGCTGTTATGTGTTGGCTGTCGAGGCCGCCGGACTTAGTGCCTTAGGATTTAATTTTATGGATATCTTTGCGGAAGAATAAAGGTTCTTACTTTTAAATTGCCCATATAATCAAGACAAAAATTAGAACTAGTTAGCAGTTATGAGAGGGTATCTTTACCCCCTCTGAGTTAATATTTATTAACTCAGAAATCCAGAAAATGTTCAAAATCTGCAGCCCCGTCTGTTCATAACAGAAGACGGTCGATATGTCGAACACCTGTAGCAAAATCTCATGTCTTGGTTTGTTATCTATTTTTATTGTTATTAGATATAGTTTAAATATTTTGTGATGTTAGTTAAATATAGTTTAAATTGTTATAAAATTCTGCATCTCTCATTGCAAATATTATTTTCGTTTTAATTGCTGCTTACAGCTATAATTTTTGCATTACAGCCGGCGCGTTCAAAGACTATAGTTATTTAAAGTGGGCGAATTTTTATAAACTCTATATCTCGAAGAGGAATCGAGCAAAATATCAAGTGTGTTATATTTTTGGAATAGTAGAGTATCAGCACATCATACATTTTGTAACCAATTGCTAAAAGTAAATATTTCTATTTATACCATGATTTGATTAGATTCGGCCAGTGTGCGCCGGCGCCGTTCAAAGCTTACTTATTCAAAGTGGGTGAATTTTAAAAACTCTATATCTCAAAGAGGAATCGAGCAAAATATCAAGTATGCTATATTTCTGGAAAGGTAATTTTAAATTATTTTCAATGAATTAAAAATATACAAGGTGTCCCATATAAAAAATCAAATTTTCTGTTGATAACCCTTAAATTATTAATTTTAAAAGATTATACTTAAACCATTAAATTCTACGTAAAAGTTGCTTTGAAAATATTTTCATAAAAATACAAAATTTTCCATAGCAAAAAAGTTACAGCGATTTGTTAAAAATGCACATTTTTGAAAAACACCCCGTAACTCATAAACAGTAACAGATATCGATGTGCGGTTATCCCCATCATGTTTTTGATAAAATTGAACTCCAGACACCGATATTAGTTATCGTCTATCTCCTATAGAAAAGGGTGTTTCCCTTTAAAAGCTTCAATTTGGCCCACCCTGTACACATAAAAAAATAAAAGTTATCAGACATTTTAACTCTTGATAAAGGCCACTGTTATCCTGTTAAATAAACTAACATTAATCAATTTTGAGGTGTTTTGATGCATATACTGGGAAGTAATTCATTTTTTGAAAATGCGTAAAAAGCATACATAAAGAAATTGTCATTGTAGAATGAATAGTAGATCTCATATTAATTTAAAGTCAGCCGCTTCATAACAAAAATTTTTTTTCTTGCAACTCTATATTTATTACCTACTAATTTATGGTCCTACCAACTATTTGAATAGAATTAGATAACAATATTTCGTCCTATTGCTGCCAAAAATCACTAACTAACATTTTTCCGAACAACCAAATTCAATCACTAATTATATGTTTTGAAGCGGAGAATCGATTGCAAAAGTCATTAACTACGATTTCTGGCTATTTATGTTTTATTTTAATACCGAATAGTTAGTAACTATAACATCTGTATGCAATGCAATTCATCTTTAGACGCATTTTTCTCGGAAGTATTAAAAAGTAAGTTAGTGACTTTTTTGGCAGCAATGGGATGATTTATTAGTTACATACCATACAAAATTGATTTAAATCATTAGTCCAGCAAAAACCGAAATATAATTAATAATTAGGCTAATATATTTAATTGAATAATAACAAACAATAATAGAAATTATAACAAACTATTTAAAAATAATGAACAACATGAAATTCCTCTTTAACTCATTATATTATACAAATATATCTACAAATTGGCAGTAATAAAAGACGGCATATAAAATTATCCCTACAAAACTATTCAACAGAAACTAACAAAAAGCAATGTCACTTTGGAATAATATAAAACCCTGGTATACTTTTCTGTATTGATTGTTTCAATCAGTAATAGCTATTACTTATTATATTTTTTCATATATGCATAATAAACTATATTGTTAAATAAAAATAAGGTAAAAGTTGTTAGAAACATAATATGAATACCTACTGATTTAATTGAAGGTCGCATAAAAAAAACAATGTTAACTGTTCAAGTTTTTTTTTGTTTCACATGCATTACTTTGAAAAAATAGGTTATGAAACTAATGAATTTCCTGCAACAAGATATCTTTATATCAACAAATACAGTGCGATCAAATAGTTCTATAACCAAGCGTTCTCACAAAGTTAAAGCCTCGGTCAATGCCTTCAAATTCTGATAAAATTAAAAAAAAATTTAACACGGTCATAATGTAATCTTTCTAACATCTTATTATTTTTTTCTTCGGTTAAATTGGAGAATTATCAAATTATTATAACCACTTCTAACCCTTATGAAAATATTTCTCTAAAGGCCATTACTTTAAACGTCAGTTAAAATATAATAACCGACAATCAAATATAGATATCACTAAATTGTTTAAGAACATGATAACCATTTTAAATATTTGTTGCTAATATAATAGTGATAAAATATAATATACATTTATATTTTTTATATTTTATTTAAATTAAAGCTAAATTATATTCCTAAGTTTTGCAAAATTGTAGTTATTAATTTAATAATGCCTATACAGGGTGCGTCTCAAAAGTGGCTCACCCGTATAACTTTCTTATTTTTCAGATAAAAAACGAGATTTGGTATGTTAGTAAATTCTAAAGACGGGGCCCAGGGCGGACCGCCCCTTCCGCCCCCTGCTCCGCCACTGAGCCAACAATAGTAGTCATTTTACAGACCACTGCAATTATAGCATTCTTTTTATCTTATGGTTCATCTAATTATCTGTTTATTGTGTAATAAAAAAATACTACGTAACTATACCGGGTGCGTCTCAAAAGTGGCTCACCCCCTATAACTTTTTTATTATTTCAGACAAAAAACGAGATTTGGTGTCTTAATATAAGACATAAATTAGGATTTATTGACGTATTCAATTGTTTTTGGTCACTTCCTGTTTCACCGGAAATAACTACGACTTTTGATTTTTAAATGGCATCATCGATATTTTTTTACTTTATTTGATAGAAAATGACATTCTGAATAGAATGACATATCATATGCCAACTTTTGACATTCTCGCTTAAAACAAAATTAAATTTTAAAATCCAATCTAGAGTGTCATGGTTATGTTAAAAACACTAATCCTTAATGAAGGAGCCTTGGAAAAATAGATTTGATTGTCTAACGTTTTTAGTGCCTTGTCCTGGCCAGTTAGAAAATGCTCAAATCGTATTTTTAATCATATCTCAATTTTTTCAAATGGAACGAGGGTGGCATTAGCATATTTTGAAAAAGCATTTTTTTACGAATAATTTGGTACCACACACTTGGTATTTCGAGTCAAATTTTCGTTACGAACCGCAACTTATAATTTCAAATAAACTATATGAGAAAATGTCAAAAGTTGACATATGATATGTCATTCTATTCAGAGTGTTATTTTCTATCAAATAAAGTAAAAAAGTACCGAGGTGCTATTTAAAAATCAAAAGTTGTAGTCATTTCCGGTGAAACAGGAAGTGACCGAAAACAATTGCATACATCAATCAATCCTAATTTATGTCATATACTAAATATATGTCAACATACCAAATCTCGTTTTTTTAACTGTAAAAATAAAAAAGTTATAAGGGTGAGCCACTTTTGAGACGCACCCGGTATATTATATGTTAATACAGTTATATATACAGTATGTCCCCGAAGTGTTTTTAGAAGAGGTATATAAAACTTTTTTTATTATTGACATTTTAAGAAAAATGCATTTTTCATAAAAAATTTTGCTTGTTCTAAGATGACCAATCCCGTCTATACTTTTCCACATTTCCCATACGATTTTAGAAAAAAAATAAAAAAACATAAAAATATAGCTGAATTTTATTCCTTGAAAAGTCCCAAAAATCAAAATGCGCTTGTATGGTTATATAATTTTGATTTTATTCTTTGATACATGGCTATTATAATGTTGATTAAGTCATATTTTTGCTGTTGTTAAAGTGTCACATTTTCTGATAACTATTAACACCCTTTCCTTAGCATTGAACTAAATACATTTTGTGTTTCTTTAGCTGCTTAAGACAGCAAAAAATATGACGTTAATTCAAATTCTATTAATAACAATTGAAAAAATTCAACTATACATTTTCATGTTTTTTTTATATATTTTTTTTACACCAACGGTATGAAAATTTAGAAAAGTAATAACTGCATTAACCATTTTAGACAAGCAAATTTTTTTATGGAAAATTCGTTTTTTTGAAAATGTCAATAATAGAAAAAATTTTCCCCTTGTAAAGACAATCCGGGGACATACTGTATATGATTTTTTGTAAATCTACTGAGTAAAATTACATAGCACATTACATACAATCACATAGCACAATTTATTAATTAATATATATTATAATTTTAAATTAAAAAACAGTAAGAAAATAAGTTTAAATTACCCAATGAGTCCTCAATCATTGTTAACATTTTTATAAAAAAATTGTAGAGTGAATATCTTAAAATAATTATTTTTAAATCAGAACACATTAAAAAAAATAAATAAACTTTAAGTAAAATGCAAACATATATCTAATGAATTTTGCCGCCCTCGTTATTTAAATAGCATAAATTTCACAGATATTGATATAAACTACATATTATGTAGTTTATATCAATATCTGTGACATTTGACAGCATAATGTCTCTTTCATCCATATTAAAACTTAATTAAAAAACTTTAATTTATTTTTTAAACCAACGCTGATAAAAGTTGCATAAAATAAAATTCTGTATGCTTGTGACCAATGGTATCGTTCTCTGGAATATAATTTTACAATCATGCTTCTAATCTTTGGCTGAAATTATGAAGCGAAATTAAATATAATATTTCAAATTATGACATAAGATTGATAAAATATTTAAACCTGTATGGATTTACATTGAAATATGTTATCTTATTATAATAAATTTTGTATCTGGTAAAATATTCACCTTAAATTTAATAAAGATCAGAGATAATTAACTCTCCGGAGTTTAATAAAATTAAAAAAACTCCAAACAGATGTAATGAATTTTGTATGGCCTATCACTTTTAAACAATTTTTGACATCAAACGCTTTCAATTTTCTCTTATTTCCGCGATCGCGCACCCAAATCATCACCAATTTCTTTTTACCTGGCAGGAGACAGCCGACACGACGATGACCAACACTATCACTTTCAACAATCCATTCATTTTCGCTCTTGAACGAATCGATCCACTTTCTGTGCGTAATTAAGTCCATTCTTGAAAAACCATTTGTTTATATACGCGAGTTTACCGGCACCGAGGCCGGCCGTGGATTTTACTGTGTCTCCGCCAATGGACCAGTTTGCTTATTGATGGGGCGGCAGTACTATTATTATTGTTGTTTGCGATTCTTTTTTCTCATTGGAAATTAGCAATTTTAGTTTTTAGTTAGTATTTTCCGTGGTACCGAGAAGTTACAAATCCAAAAAATGTTTGCTGATTAATTCAAATATTAGATAAAATAGTAATTCTTGTTTAATAAACAGGGTGGTCCAAATTGTAATCGGGAATACTCGGCTGCATATTCTGCAGATAAATATAAGTAAAAAAGTTCGTATTAATTTATGTCCTAATATGCTTAGTTTTGGAGGTACAGGGTGGAGAAATTTCACTTTTAGTTTGATTTTTTATAAATAATGTCTGAACTAATGTCGATACCGTAAAATGGGGGAATAGAAACATAGTGGTGAAAAGAAACAAAATTTCTGAAAAAAATCAAATCACGATTAAAAATATTCAAAGTAAAAAGAGTCGACATATCTAATTTTTCTATCATTGGTAATACACAATAAAATGTAAAAACTATATTTTTATCTGTGGCAGCACTGTTTCTGTCAATCAGCTGATCAATAAATGTAAAATCGATTTATCACCTATTTTGTATGGCGCAAAAACTTTTAAAGTAATACATAAGCTGGTACATGTAAGTTGTTATATTATATATATTGTTAATTATTCTTAAACCTACTTAAATATGTAATAATTTACTGTTTCTAATCACCTTGTTGGAAGTAGAATAGATAAAAACCTTAACATCAATGTGTGTTTCTATTCTCCCGAATAGGAGGTGAATAGAAACACAAATGTTATTTTTATTTAATATTTATACGCATATTTTTCAAAAATCAAATTATATGTATACGCAAAGAACAAACAAAGACCCATGTTTTAAAATATTCGGGAAAATAATACCACATTTTTATCAACCAGTATATCGCTAATAGCCTACGAAACTGTTTCTATTCACCCCATTTTACGGTACTTTGATGAAAATTGGTGTCTGAAAGTGAAAAAAGTATATAGGGAAATTGGAACAACTTTCGTTGCAGTTATTTTAATTTCCCTATATACTTTTTTCACAATGTAAATATACTATAATACACTATGTGGCACTATTCACTCGGCACTATTCACTTGGCAATATTCAATTGGCACTAATCGCAACGGTTACTCCTCAAAGCTTTTGATAATAATTTAAGAGCGGTTCGGCTTTTTCCGGAATTGTGTCGCCAAATATTATTTATTCATATTAATTATTATTTTCTTTTAATGTATGACATTCATTTGTAAGGACATGTATGAAATACCTATAAAACATTGGAAACTGACGTTATGCCACGATCCACGATGGTTTTGTAGTTCACAGTTCACACAGCTTTGTAAGTTTTAACAGTAGCGTAATAGTTATTACACTGAGGTAATAAATAATATGTATTTTTTTAGTGCCAAAGGTACAACAGAAACATAATCTTTTCTAGAAAAAATTATAATTATTTAAAGAAAAATAATAAGTAAAAGAAAAATAATAAGTCACCCGAAATGACTAAAACTTTTAATTTTTAAATGACACCCTCGGTTTTTTTTTACATTATTCTATAGAAAATAACATACTGAATATATTGACATATCATATGTCAAATTTTGACATTTTTGCTTAAAATAAAATTCTATTTTAAATTTCAATCTAGAGTGCCATGGCTGTGTTAAAAACACTAATTTTTAATCAAGAAGCCTTGGAAAATAGATTTGATCGTCTAATGTTTTTAGTGTCTTGTCCTAACCGGTTAAGAAATGCCCAAATGGTATTTTTAACTATATCTCAATTTTTTTTAAATGGAACGAGGGTGGCTCATTAGCATATTTGGAAAAAGCATTTTTTTACATATAATTCGGTATGACACACTTGGTATTCTAGTCAAATTATTAATCAATCGGCTATTCGAGTCAAATTGTCGTTATGAATAGCACGTGCAATTTTAAATACACCATTTTCGAAAATGTCAAAAGTTGACATATGATATGTCATTCTATTCAGAGTGTCATTTCCTATGTAACAAATCATCTAACTTGTCATGTCAAGGGTGTCATTTAAAAATCAAAAGTTGTAGCCATTTCCGGTAAAACGGGAAGTGACCGAAAAGAATTGAATACATCAATCAAAATTTATAATTATTTAAAGAAAAATAATAAGTTCCCAAATTTTTAATTTCACTCAAATAACTATGTAGTTAACTTGCATAATATTTGTTGTCAGTGATAACATGTATTAATAGTTTCCATTCCAAATATGATGAGAACGGTTGCTCGTAGCGATTTTTACTAAGAAACCTTTTTACGTTAAAAAACGACGGAAATGTATATTTGTTTACTCGGTAGTTTAATACAGGTATGGTCGAAAAGTTATTATACTTCAAAGCAGTTCAAAATGTAGGGGTGCCCCCTACAAGAACGAATCACATTGTCATCAATGAGACACCAATTTCACCCAAATATAGTTCAGAATTTATTTTGAAAAAATTTAAATAAAAATTCTACACCCTGTATCTCCAAAGGAAGCATTTTAGGGCATAAATTTAAACGAACTTTTTTACTTATTTTTATCTCCAGAATATGCTGCCGAAGATTCCCGAATAAGAATTTGGACCATCCTGCATAATAATCCAAGGAATAAAAAGGTCAATGGGACAATTTATGCTTAAAAGATAAGGAGGGACCACAAGAGAATATAAGTAATAAGACGGTAAACACTTAAGTGAGAGTAGGAAGATTTACGAAAGATTGAGAGTGATGAGAAAATGCTATTTATTTATTTAAAGATTTTCTGTGTTGAAAGTGCCTCTAGTAAAAACATATTAAAAAGTGCAAGACTTACGAGAGTCTTTACAGCTATACCGAGACCAACATTAATTAACAGACTGTAAAACCAAGGCCAGGACCAAGGGAGTCTTCTTTGCGATTCTTAGTCTTGGTCTTTTTTTCAGTTACAAGGGGCCGTCCTCTACAGGAAACACTGCGACCTGTGAGGTCTATTGTGTGTGTCCCCTTTCTACGTCTGCACCCATTCTCCTATCCCTGCACCCTTTCCTATCCCTGCACCCGTTTCTACGCATATGCTCCTGTCTATATCTCCAGTAGACATTCTGCTTTTCCCTGCTTTTTCCTATGTATGTATGTATGTATGTATCCCTGCACCGTGCACCCTGCAGCGACTTATGCAGGTTCTTAAAAGGATGGGAGCATAGTTCCTCCGGTTCTTGCCTAGATTTCGCAAATAAAAAGTGCCGCTTGCGATCCAGAGCTTCGCAGTGATATATTATGTGCTCCGTTGTTTCAGTATGTTTATCGCAAAGTCTACAGTAAAGACTACTGTAAGTAAGTACTTTCATACAGGTTAAGCTTGTTCAGGTAACACAATTCCATATGTCCTACCAAAAAACCTGTTGTAATCCGCACTTTATTCCTGCTAAGCATTAGTAGTTCCTTTGTGGATTTAGATGTATAGGGAAATTAAAATAACTTTGGTTGCAATACAACCACCAGCAAACTCCATAAGACGACGCATGATGTCATTGATGACGTGCAACCAAAGTTGTTTTAATTTCCCTTTGGGTCCTTAGATAAAGGCATTGCTACGCCTGTGCGTGTGTCTGTATCTCCAGTAAATATTCTGCTTTTCCCTGATCCAGGGTTTTAGTGCACTACGCTATGGACCATACGTTTGGGTATTTCCAGTACTGTCCCTGGACAAATATAGGATGCCGACGATCCTTGCCTAGCTAGCTCATCGGCTTTTTCGTTTCCATGGATTCAACTATGGCCCGGCACCCAGAATAATGTAATTCTGTTCCTTTGTGCCAGAGCCCCCAGTTCAACCAGGCATTCGCATACGAGTCTCGACGATACGTTTTTTTGGGTTGGTTTGGTTTTGGTTAGACGGGGTTTGGTTTGCCTAGCATCATACGTATCTAATTTGGAAACCAAATAAGTCTATGACAAATTTCTATTGTTATTTTATAATATTCAGAAATAATAATTTAATAATTTAAAATAAATAAATCTACTTTCCATCCAATAAATTTGTAATATATGCGTATAATCCAATTATTTGATTTCAATAGTACAATATATTCGTATTGATGCAGATATTAAAGTAATTCCATATTAAACCCCTAGTAGTATTTTTAAATAGGGGATGACAACAAAATCCTTATACAAATAGGCACACGATTGCTCTTATCGAATAAATTTAATATTTGATTCGTAGTATAATAATAATTGAAAGACTCACATTTTTCATTGAAGAAAACACCTACAACATTTACATAGACCATAAAATTGGCAATCAATTTATTCAATTTCAACATATAAGTCCTGTAAAAATTGTTTAATCCTAAATTAAATATTGCTCAGAAATTTATACATATTCTTTATTTTCTTTTATTGTACAAGAAAAATGATATTCTTTAACTTATATTTCTTTTATGAAGTCTATATTAATTTTACTTCAAAATTCATACGAGTATATACCAGGCGATGCATCGTCGTTGAAAACAGAAAATCCCATGCAAATTTTGAACTGTCCAAATATTTGCTCCCCTATTAATTTTACAGCTCAGTCGTAAATATATTTTTTAAAGGTCTGTCTATACTGAATATACATGCGAAATTTGAACCATTTTGGACTAGGCGATTTAAAGTAATTTAAGAAAAACTGCATCTATATTTTGAAGAGGTAACAATGCAAAATCAGTCAAATCAACATACCTTATGTAGTCAACCTAAGATTTTATCATTGTCAAATGTACCTAAGTTGTTGTGCAGTCTACATTTATTACTACCTTAAAGTATCTACGCTTGTATACCCGAAATATATTTTTGTAATGTAAAACTGGTTCGAATGAGGCAAAAGCCTAACATTTAAAAGACACAATTTGACATTGACAAAATTATAGGATAACAACTTAAGGTACGTTTGCATTTGCC